CATACTCTGTGACCTGAGTAAACCTGTGTTCGTTATACATTACCAGCTTCAGGGTGGCTTATTAATTTTTTTTTTTAATTGATACCGGGGATCGAACTCATGACCCCGCGCTTGCAAGCCAGGAGCTTATGCGGCTGAGCTAAATCCCCAGTCCGGCTTATTAATTTTTTAAAATTTGTTTTTTGCAGTGTGTACTGGGGATTATAGAATGCAGGGTCTCAGCCCTGAGCTACATTCCCAGACCTTTTTGTATTTGTATTTCAAGACAAGCCTAAGTTCCCTTGGCCGGGTTTGAATTTGTGATCCTCCTGCCTCAGCCTCCCAGGGAGCTGAGATCACGTGTGTCTGCATCACCACACCTGCAGGTACTTTTTGTTTTGTGCTGGGATGAAACTCAGGGCCTGCCTCAGGCCAGACCAATCCTCCACTCCTGAACTATACTCCCTGCTTCAGCTTTTGTTATGGCAGTGGAAAATGAACTAATTTGTTTGTTTTGGTTTTTTGAGACAAGGTCTAGCTATGCAGTTTAAACTGGCCTTGAATTTACTATGTAGCTGAGGCTGGCCTCAAAACTCATGGTGACCTCTTGCCTCAGCCTCCCGAGTGCCAGGATTACAGGCACACACCACCACACCGGGAGAAAAATGGACTATTAATGGGCCCCTCATTTGGAAAATACAAAAACAGAAACATTACAGTGAGCTACATCTCTCAGTCCTTTTCATTTTTTATTTTGAGACAGAGGCTGAGTAAGTCACAAAATTGTGAATGCTGAGCTGGAACTTTCAATCCTCTTGCCTCAGTTTCCCAGAGTACTGGGCTTATAGGTGTGTGCCACCACCTTAAGGCCTCTCATTTTTAAACAATAATGTCAAACTAGGCATTGTGCCACATCCCTGTAATCACCGCATTTGAGAGACCAAGGCAGATTTTTGAGACTTCCAGGCCAATCTGGGCTACATCATGAGTTGAAGATCAGCGTAAACTACATATGGAGACCCTGTCTCAACAAAACAATAATAAATTAATAAGTAAATAAATAAAATAAAAATATCAAACTGTCAGGTGTGGTGGTACATACCAGTAATCCTAGCATTCAGGAGGCTGAGGCAGGAGGATTGCCAAGTGTTAAAAGCTAGTTTGAACTACATAAGGATAACGTATGTCAAAAAAAAAAAAAAAACCTGATAATAATACATATATATTTTTCCTGAACATGTGAAGCTAAGTTATGTACGTCATGGTCCTATAACCCTAAACACTTCAGTGTGTATTTCCCAATAACAGGAATTGAATCCAGGGCCTCCTTTGTATACTAGGCAGAAATGCTCTACCACTGATGTATACCCCCAGACCCTTTTTTGTTTTGTTTTGATGGTCCTGAGGATTGACCCCAGGCAAGTGCTGTAATGCTGAGCTACATCCCCATCCCTACCCTCAAACCCTTTTTTTTTTTTTTTTTTCTTTTTTGAGACAGGGTCTCACTATGTAGCCCAGGTTGGTCTTGAACTCACAACTATCCTTCTACTTGAGCCTTTTGAGTGCTGGGATTACAGACATGTGCCACCATGCCCAACTTCCCAAACCTTTTTAAAAATTTTTATTTAATTTTATTATGAGAAAGTCTCTTGGTCAGGTGTTGTGTTGCATGTTTATAATCCCAGCACTTGGGAGGCTGAGGCAGGAGAATCACCAGGAGTTCAAGGCCAGCCTATCTAAAAACATAGCAAGACACTATATAAAAACAAAAACAAAGTCTTACTAAGTTGCTCAAGCTAGCCTTACACTTGTAACCCTACTGCCTCAGTCTCCCTAGTAACTGGGATCATAGGCATGTATGACTATGCCAGACAGGCTATCCTCTTACAGAGATGGATTTTAGTAAATTGAACATTACTATGTGAATTTTTCTAATCATATTCCAGTTTTGTCAAGTGGCCCAATAATGCTCTGATTTGTGGTATCGTTTTCCTCCAATACAGAATAGGTAGTGCTGATAAAATCGGGTGACAGACTTGATGTAAAGAAAAATGTCATTCCAGCCGTGTGTGGTGGCAGTGCATATCCCGGCACAGCAGGAGGCTGCAGCAAGAGAATCATAAATCCAACACCAGGCTGGAAGTTTAGAGCATTAAGGAGACTTTGTCTCAAAATAAAGATTTTTTTAAAAAACAGGCTGGAGATGTAGCTCATTGTAAAGGTTTTGGGTTTAATGCACAGTACTGTGAAAAAGACAGAAAGAAAAGGAGGCTGGGCGTGGTGGTGCATGCCTGTAATCCTAGTACGAGAGAAACTGAGGCAAGAGAATCTTGGGCCAAACTGCAAGACTCTGTCTCAGAATAATTAAAAAGATAAGGGAAGGAAAGAAGTCCCTTTCCAGAGTTCTGGGAGTGGCTAGCTGGCCCCGGAGTATCAGGTGGTCTCTGCCAGCTCTGCTTCTGTCCGCAGGGGCTGTTTTCCGGACAGCTCTTCCTCGGAGGAAGCCTGGGTCCTCCAGCCCGCGTAGCCCGGCCCCAAGCTCACTCTCCTCAGGCTAGCTTCCCACTCATACCCATCCCGGACAGAGGATCCACAGCGGCCAGCCCTGAGCTGGCCAGCAGGGCGCGCCCCCGGACCCTCGCGGGCAGGGAAAGCACTTCTTCCGCAAGTGAGGGCGGGCGCCGCGGATGCCGGTGAGGGCGCTCAGAGCGGGTGGGAGACCGGGTGCTGCTCCGAGGTAGGAGGTAGGGGGATTCCTGTCCTGCCTGAGGCCTGGACTACGCTTCCAGCACCACCAACAAACCAACAAGAAAATAAGCAAAAAGCCTGCTCTCTGCCCATCAGCAGCAGCCCCAGAAACTTATTTGAACAACAAATTCTCAGTCCCAGCCTGACTGCCTAAGTACTCTGCCTGTTTCTGGAGCTCTTGCTTAGAGTCTCAGAGACTTGAAAAAATGCTGATTTACATAAAGCAATTAATTTAGCTTTCACATAATACTCCAGAGGAGAGTGAGCCAAGCTGGCAGTGTGGGCATCTAAAGACCCAGCTTCCTACATCTTCAAGTTCAGTTTTACTGGAGGAGTATGTGTGTGTGTTGCTGGGAGTTGAACCCAGTGCCTTCACACTGAGCTGCACCCCCAATGTTTACTTTCTTTCTCCATTCTTTGTTTCTTTCATCTTTTCCAGACAGGGTTTCACTATGCAGTTTAGGCTGGCTTCAAACTCACCAGGCTGGCTTCCAACTCTCGGCAATTTACTGCCTCAGCCTCCTGAGTGCTGGGATTATAAAGTGTGCACTACCATACCCAGCATATTTCCAGTATATATATATATAAAATGTAACTTTTTTTTTTTTTTTTTTACTTTTTGGACAGTATCTTGCTAAATCACTAGATTGCTCAAGCTAGGCTCAAATTCATGATCCTCAGAGTGCTGGGATTATCATGCCTGGCTTTTATTTTACTATTTTTTTTTATTATTTTATTTAGAAATGCAATCTCACTAGGTTGCCGAGGCCATTCTTGCCCTCTGGGGCTCAAGTGATCTCCTGTCCCAGCCTCCAGAGTAGCTGGCACTACAGGCACAGGCCAGTCGGGCTGGCATTCATGATTATTTCTGGGTGGTTCAGAAAATGAGTCTGGAGCCAGACTGTCTATAAAGTTCAGTTCAGCCCTGATTGACATGTTTTGAAATTTCGGTTTAGTTTTTTTCTTTTTCTCTTTGAATAAAATAGATTTGGAAAAAAAACAAAGTTCAATTCAGGTTCTCCTAAGTATGCTTAGTAGAGTTGTGTGACTTTGGCTCAATTTCTTCCTGAGCTTTAAATGAGAAAAATGGGCTGATAATAGCACCATTAAAAGGCAGTGAGGTAAGTGAAGTAATTTTATGAGGCAGCACAGATGCTGGCTCACTGGAGCGCTGTTTACGTATTAGCTGTTGAAGGTGCTGATTACATGACCGCAAGGATGGCAAGGGCCCATCCGGTGACTCCCAGCAGCTCTGCCCTCACCTAGCGCTGTGAGCATCGGCCACTAGGGGGAGTGGCGGGTTTGAGATGCGTCAGCGTGTGGTGAGCGTCAGGGGGCGCTGTGGCGCTGGTCCCAGGAGTGCAGCGACTGGCTGGACTGGTTCCCTGCGGACATTCCAGAGGAGAAGGCGTGCATCCCCTCCAGTGCCAAAAGCCCCAGGACCACGGTTGAGAATTAATACTGGCGACGAAGGCAGAAGAAAAAATTGATCTTTGATCTTTAGGCCCAGCCCGGGGGCAAGGTGAGGTGGACAGGGCAGAGGAGAGGAAATGGACAGTGATGTGTGAGGCTCCCACTGCGACCCCTTCCCCCTAGGATTCTGAAATTCTGCCCCAAAGTTTTCCAGCTCTGCCTTCCTCATATTGCTTTGAATGTTTTATACATCAAGGTGGTTGTAAGGGTTATAGGATGCCCACGGTGAGAATGAGATTTTGGAGGGGTACTGGGGATGGAACTAGGGCCTTCTGGGCTGAGCTGCATCTCCAACCCCCACCCACATACACTTCTTTTTTAAGGAGTCTTGCTAAAATGCTCAGGCTGGTTTTCAGTTTGTGATCTTCCTGCCTCAGCCTCCCAGAATGCTGGGATTACAGGCATACATGAGGCTGAGAATGGGAATATTTGGAAATTGCCTGCAATGCTTTTCGAGTTGTTTTTGTTTGTTCATTTGTCTTTTTTGTAAATGACCAAAGCTTTCAACAGATTTTTCAAGGGGTGCGGAACCCCAAACAGTCTGGAGCTCTCTTTCACCAGGAATCCTTCTCTGCTTTCTGACAGGGCCAGGTCCCTCCTTCCAGCACCCTGATCTTCTTGCCTCTGACCTCTGCCTGGGTCCCCCTCTTCACAGCACAGATGTCGTGTAAGGCAGTGTCCCCCAGTGAGGCCCCGTGAAGCTCAAGGATTTCTTAGGCACCCAGAACATCACCAACATTGTCTAACACAAGGCTGACCGGTGACAAAGAAGCCATCATAGAGATTTTGGCCTTTCTTACCTCTAGGTCTTTGCAGTTACTGCTCCCTCCCTTGCCTGGAATATGTCTCCTCCACCGGCTCATTTCCCAGCATCCTCCAGGTCTCAGCCCAGACATCTCCAGGGGGCCTCCCTAGCTCCCTCCCCTTAGGGCTTGGTTAAAGTTTATTTTTCCAACACTCAAAAGCATGTATTATGGAAAACATTTATTGAATAAATGAATGAAGGGTTAGTGTTTGGGTTGGCTCCTGTGTCCGCTGGGGCGTAACTTCCTGACCCTCTTTGTACAGTATTTTTTTTTTAACTTTGTCTTGTTTTTCCAAGTTTCTTGAGTTGTGATTCACATAGCACACAGCTCACCCATTTGTAGTGTATGATTCAAGAGTTTTAGTAACCTTGTGTGACCATCCCCTCTTCTTTGAGGAGTCCTGAGACCCTGTGACCTGACAACCCTCCCCACAAGGACCCCATGCTAGGTACTTCTGACTGTGCCATTGAAGGAGAGAGCATCTGGCCTCTTCTTGTACCCTGGGAGGGGGAATCAGTAAAGAACAAGATGTAGCTGTCTCTCTTGGCCTTCTGACTGGCCACAGGGCTCAGTGTTTTTGGAGGCCCGGGGCTGTGACAGTGACTGAGCGCTTGCTATGTGCCAGGTGACATTTTAAGCGCTTGCCATATATGACTTAATGGCCATCAACAGTCCATGGAGAAAGCACATGGGACACACAGGCGCTCAAGAAAGCAGCCCTCTGGAAGCTGGAGAGATGGGCAGGATTCAGGCCAGGAGGGAGCCCTCAACTGGACCTGGAGCTGGAGCTGGAGGCTCACAGGCCACATGTGCCCCAATGGGCAGTTATAAAAAATTAAACACGGGCCACATTCCCTTCTTGCCCCCACCCCTTAGGTAGAAAGTCATATAATACTTTAAAAAAAAAATCATCCTGTTTCTGGAAAGCAGTTATGATGGTGCACGCCCGTAATCCCAGCACTTGGAAGGCTGAGGCAGGAGGATTGTTGTGAGTTTGAGACCAGCCTAGGCTACAAAGTGAGCTCAAGGCCAGCCTGAACTGCATAGTGAGACCCTATCTCAAAAAGATTTTTTTAAAAAGTCCTGTTTCTATGACCTTCCCACATCCCTGTCCAGGCCCCTGAAGCACCCAGGCTTGAAACCCCAGGGAGAAGGCTCAGATGGGTGAACAGTGACGCAGGGATGGGGCTGTGTATAGCCTGGCACTGGGGCCCTTCACTCCCAAACACGCACCCCGAGTTTCTCTCTGACCAGGCTGTGCTTGTTCCTCAGGCAGGGAGATTCTGCTTACCCAAATGGCCAAGTAGGTAGGGGACACTGAGCGACAGTGCTGGGCACCTCACTGTCAGGCATAGCTCATTTCTGCCCAGGGCAAGGCCAGGACCACTGCTGCGTGCTCAGCCCACATCCCACTGGATAGTTGGGCTGGGCTCACCCTCCAGGGACTCCCACCCCTTCCCTGTAGCCTACTTTCCCAGAGGGACTTCAGAACCATGTTTAAGTAGCCAAGAAAGGACAGCTTCCTGAGAGCAGGGCTTGAGGCTGCTCCCTTGTCCCCCTGCCAGAGGCCCTGTATTGAGGGAAGAGAAAGAGTCCAGAAAGATTTACCAAGAGGGGCAGGAGTAGGTGCTAAAACCCTTAAGGTTAATGGCACTGAAGATTTGAGAACAATGACACAAGAGGGAGAATAGGAAGACATGGAACCCTGGTGTGGTGCCATAAGCCCATTATCCCAGCACACTGGGAGACAGAGGCAGAAGGATGACAAGCTCAAAATTAGCTTAGGGAACAGAGGGACTTTAGCCTTAAAAAAAAAAAAAAAAAAAAAAAATATATATATATATATATATATATATATATATATGAAAAAATGAGTGGGCTGAGATGTAGTTCTGTGCAAAGGCCCTGTGCAGCCCTCCACACACATATGCAGGGCAGAAAGGATATGACAGAAAGAGACACAGCTGTGCAGAGAAAATTAAGCAAAGATAAAGCAACAAAGAAAGAAATAAAGACAGGAGACAGGTAGGGCTAAAAGAATGATAGTCGTGCAAACTGTATCCAAGCTAGAGTCAAGAGTGGTGCGTGTGTGCGTGTGTAATTGAGTGATTCCAGAAGCAAACTCTGGACCCAAATTTTGAGAAAAAGCAAGCGGAGGCAAGGTACAAAATAGGTGTTTTTAATGGAAAATTTTATAAAAGGGTGAGGAAATGTGAATGGAACCAAGGGTTAGGTTAGGGCCAGGGTGCCAGTGGGAGGAGCTGGGGGTGGCGGAAGCAGCGAAGAGTCCTGTCCATCATCTATCCGCTCAGTCCCAGTTGGCGCGTCCCTGTGCGCACGCGCACAGGCCGGCTGCAGGTGTGCTTGGCAGGGCCCAGAACGCAGGGGTAGATGGGGGGATGGGGGCTCAGGCCCGGGGCCGCGCAGGCGCACAGTGGTGCGGCTGGTGTGTGGGTGCGAATCCAGGGCGGCACACACAGCGGAAGGAGCCATCCGTGTTGACACAGCGCGCATTGACGCAGAGCGGGGAGGCCGCCTCTGCTTCATCACACTCGTTGATATCTAGGGAGGTGGTAGAAGGGGTGCTGCTCAAGGCTGGGGACCCAGAAGCCCGCCTCCCAGGACCCTGGCGCGCTTGGGGCACAGAAATACTGTGCAGATGTTGAGCATTTTGTTTGATGTCAGTTTTGTTTGATGTCAACCTGTCCACTGCCTCCTGTGGACTGTGTGAGCTGAGGAAGGTATCTTTAACATCTCTGTTTCAGCTTCCTGTTCTCTATGATGGCTATGTCGGCTACATCACCAGATTTTTGTTCGGAAAATAATACCAATGGCGATAGTGCCAAGAGTAAATGCTTATTCTGTATCACACACTATTGTAAGCATATAACCAGTGTCAACTTTATAATCCTAATAACCCTATGAGGCGGCTGCAAGGGTCTTGTTTTAGGTCCAAGCAAACCGAGGCCCAGTATTGGAAAGCCCTTTCCCAATGTTGCAGCAAGCCCTGACTCCGCATGGGTACCCAGGCCAGCCATTCACTAGTTCTCGGCTATGAGATTTAGGGGAACTCAGTTCTCACTTTTTTTCTTTTTCTTTCTTTCTTTTTTTTTTTTTTTTTTTTCTGGCACCGGGAATCGAACTCACAACTTGCACTTGCTTATGCTGCTTATAGCATAGCCCTGGCCCTCAGCTCTCATTTTTGAGCCTTGATTTACACACAGGCTTCAGTGTTACTGTAAATTAGCCATACCGATGTTCATAATTGTGAGTAGGATCTTTGACTACGCCCATTTTTTGGATGAGGAAAGCGAAGCAAAGGATGGTGACCTGACCAAGTCACACAGGAGGTTACTAGACTGAGCCTGAGATCTTTCCAGTTCATCCCGAGTTCCGGATGTCACCCCTCGGCTTTCCCAGTCTAAACTAGGCAGGGCAGCTACCCTTTCTCACACTATGGATGGGAAGACCCAGACTTTCTGAAGCAGTCATGTGAACTGCTGGAGGCAGCAGGAGGAGTCCTTAGGGATCCTGGCCCCAGACCTCTGGTCAAGCCCTGCCTTCTCCTAGTCTGGATCCTCTCTTCATCAAGCCCCACCATTCAGCTAGAATGACCACAGCCCTGTCCCTGGAACAGCCTGTGCTCTTGCCCAGGGCTCCCTGACCATCTGCCTCTCGCCACAGCTTCTACCTTTTCTGCTCAACCCCTGCCCCTCCTGCCCCTCACCGACGCAGGCCATGCGGGTTGTGTCCAGGCGGTAGCCATCGAAGCAGTCGCAGGTGAAACCTTCGGGGACGCGCACGCAGCGGCCGTGGGCGCAGCCGTCCAGGATCCCGCACTCCTCTGCTTCCAGCCCCTCGTAGGGCTCAGCTGGGGCACCTGCGGTGAATGAAGAAACACAGTGACGCCAGATCTCCATTTGCCACCCCTTTTTCTCTCCTACAGGGTCTGTGACCTTGGCTCCGGAGGTCTCATTTTACGCTGTCTTGCTGGGCACGGTGGCACACGTGTGTAATCCTAGCACTTGGAGACCGAGGCAGGAGGATCACTGTGAGTTTGAGGCCCATCTGGGCTACAAAGTAAGTTCCCGGCCAACCTGAACTGCATGGTGAAACCCAGTCTCAAAAAAACATAAAACAGGGCCAGGACTGTAAGTCAGAGGCATAAGTGCCTGCCTGGCAAGTGTAAGGTCCTAAATTCAATTCCCAGCACCAAAATAAATAAATTAATGAATTAAATAAAATAAAATAAACTATTTCAGCTGGGTGTAGTGGTGCACCTCTACACCAGAACTCAGAGGCCAAGTCAGGAGGATCAGTAATTTGAAGTCGGTTTGCACAATTTAGCGAGACCCTGTCTTAAAATTTTAAAAAGGCTGGTGATGTAGCCAAGTGGTCCCTGGGTTGTATCCCGAGTACCAAAACAAATAAACTGCCCCTCCCACTCCAGGGGTGCAGGTGCGCTGTGGGGCCAAATTTACCTCAGGCAGCCCTCCCAGCTTTTCTCCTCCCTTATCACTACAGGGGTTTCTATACACCTGCTCACTGTCCTGCTTTCCATTGCTCTGACTACATTTTCCCTGTCCCTGTCCCTCCCCTGCCTTCCCTTTCTGTGTTTCCTCTTTCATCACTGTCCCCATGCCTCACCCATCGTCTCAATCCAAAATGCTCACCAGCATAGCCTCCACCTTCAGAGGACTCCTCAGGCTCTGGGAAGGACCTGCGGGTGTCCCGGGACCGATAGGGCCAGCTGGTGCCCCGACTGGGTGGAGCAGGAGCCTCAGATTCTCCATAGGGGCCACCATCATCCTCAAAGTCAGGCAAGTCAAAGGGTGGTGACCCATAAGGGGCCTCCCGGCGGGCAAAGGGCCCAGGGGGTGGTGGGTAGGGGTCGTAGGGCAGCACAGGTGGTCCATACAGTTCAGGCCCATAGGGGAGGCCCTGGTAGGGTGGGCCTATATCTGGGCCATACTCATAGGGAAGTCCAAAGCCACCTGGCCTTGCAGGGCCATATGCAGGGGGGCGCAGCACATTGCACAGAGCTTCAAAGTCATCTGTGAACAGGAGCCAAGTTACACAATCAGTCC